CGAAACTGGGAGAGGATACTAAATAAAAGGCGCTAGACACAGTTTTCGTTTTTATGCTACTTCTCATGGCTATTTTTCATTTAGTGCATTGGAAATTCATCTGTAGTCTCAGGGGCTCTGGGACTTGACATTTTTTGGAGTTCCTCTGGGGAACCAAGAATAAGACTACTTTCTTTTTCTTTTTCAGGCAGTCAGAAAAGTGCTCAGATATCACATAAGAGCCAGAACCAAATGGGGTCTTCTACATTTTGGAGCAATGCTGTAATTTGAAAACATATTGGGGTTTGTCAATATAAAGCAAAATTGATGAAAGTTAACATAGATAAAGGGAAAAATTCATAGTTTAAGAAAAAGGTGAAAAATTATAATAAGTTCTTCCCCATTTCGGAGCAAAGTGAGATGAAACTTGAAGGAAACTGCAAACAAACACCTGCAATAAACTTCTGTCCCTTAATAAAATGAATGATAGTGAATATTTATTGAACATTTATTACATGACAGATGCTATTGCATGGAAGGTACTTACATTAACACATTTAGTCTTTACAGAAGACTGTCACACAAGACACAATAATTGTCTGCATTATACAGATGGAAAGAAAATGGGTCACAGTAAAATCAAGAAACTTGGCCAAGATTGCAAAGCTCCTAGGTGGGATAGCCAGATTCAACCCCAGGTAACCTGGCCCTATAGTCCACATGCTTATGTCTGGAATATGCAGAATTAAGGGAGAGGAAGAGGGAAGGAAAGAGGGAAGGAAGAAGGGAGAAGTACTGTTCAGTCAGTGCTGAACAGTTCTTTAGTACTATACAATTGTTCATTACTGCAGTTTGAGAACGTTTCCTGTAGTATCATTGTGTCTATCATCAATACCCTTGGATGACAATATAAGGACACCCATAGAAATTAGATTCTGGTCTTTAATAGAAGTCTTCATGAAAAGGAACCAGAGCTCATTTGAAAGTAGACAATACCACGTCTCAAAGCAAGCGAATTTAAAATAACACTAGAAAAGCTTGCTGTTCCCCAAAAGCAAGGCTGCTCTAAGAGATACCTGGAATAGCACCAAAAAGTACAAAAGGGGGCTCTCGCTGGCCAGGTAGTGACAATTTGAGCATTAAAAGGGAAAACAGCCTGGCACAGTGGCTCAAGCCTGTAATCCCAGCACTTTGGGAGGCTGAGGTGGGCGGATCACAAGGTCAAGAGATCAAGACCATCTTGGCCAACATGGTAAAACCCCTTCTCTACTAAAAATACAAAAATTAGCTGGGCATGGTGGCCCACACCTGTAGTCCCAGCTACTCAGGAGGCTGAGGCAGGAGAATTGCTTGAACCCAAGAGGCAGAGGTTGCAGTGAGCCGAGATCATGCCACTGCACTCCAGCCTGGTGACAGAGTGAGACTCTGTCTCAAAAAAAAAAACAAAAAATGGGCAAACAATGATTAAAGTCCACTGGAGCAAGTTGAGTCTGTTATGACCACTCCAGGGTCATGGATTTAAACAGAAAAGTGACAAAATACTAGGACGTAATTGTCAACACATAAAGTGGTTTCTCAATACTGTCTTCTAGGAATGTCATATTATTGGTGAACCAAATTATGTGTGTACTATGCTGAAGCTGCAGCTGAGTTACTGATATTAATCTACACATCTGTAGGTTTTTTTATTTTAAGAAAGGAATGTTAGGTCAGAGGCAGAGATTTAGCAAATAAAGTATGTGAAAAATGTAAAGTAGAGAAGTCAGCTTTTTAATAGAGAAACTTGAAGATTTAGAAAGGATGTATAAAAAGTCTATGTGTGAGGGGCGGTATATTACAAAGTGAGTTTGGTCCTTGCTACACTTTCTGCAACCAAAGTTTGGTGATCTAGGACACTTACTGGAGAACTGCTATGGAAAACGTATACATTGGTGACTCCACCTATAATATTACATGGGATCCCTTTTGTACAGACCCAAATCTATTCATTTCAGGATGAAAGAAAATTCCTGGATTCAGGAGTAATGGGGATTAGATAGGTTACAGATAGAAACCAAGATACAGAGATACAGACAGATAGACTGAGTTCTTCCATTTCCTTCATATTTCAGAACGAGTGAGCAAGCTAAAACGAATGTGAAGATATGTGGGCAAAAGTGAGCCAACCTAGACTAGCAGTCACCCAGGCATGGGGCTGATTTAGGAACATGAGAGGTGAGTGTGAGGAGGTCCAGGAACAGGAGCTGCCATAATTACCTAGAAAAATAGGCGACACATCTTCATCAATATGGCAATGTTAGCCAAACCAAGATTGTATGTGTACCCAGCTTGCTTAATGATACTTTGCAGAAATTAATTTCCATATTGTCATGAGAATTGGGTCTGAAGACAGGGAGAAGGATGCTGACTGGTTTTGTGTGTACTGATCAGGGAGGAATGGTAACAAAAGTCCCTCTTCTAGTGAGTGTCTAATAGTGTCTCTAATAAGTGGGAGAGTAGTAACTGAAAATGACTAATGTAGGATACTCTGTTGGGGGAGTAGGGAAGACAGAAGTAGGTATATACACAAAACGAAGACCTCTCCTCTGAAAGCGTGGGTGTTCACGTGAGGGCAGGTGTTCTGTAATTGAGCAGCACTTGGAGCTCAGATCCAATGTGTCTGCTGGTCCCTGAGGACATGATGTGTGGGAAACTTCACAGTGCGTGGTTACCTTTCGCAAGAATGAGGTGCAATGATGATTCGGGGCACTAGCGACTTGCAAAAGAGCCAAGTCACAGGTTGTGTGCAACCTAAACTAGCAGTCTGAGCTTTCCTTACCTACCAGTGATGCCTCAGCCTGCTGACATGTAGGTTACTAGCAGAAACCAGAAAATGTCTTTCACCCTCTCAGGTAATCAAGTATCATGAAGATTTAAAGTTATAAAGACCAAATCAATCACTTAAAACATATTGGGAAATGGTATGAAGTGCCCAGAAATCCAGTACAAAGATACAAAGAAACAGGTCAGTTATTTGCTGAGATCAAAGATCTTATTTTTGGGACATTACAACTGAGGCTCATGAAAAGGCATTTGGAAAATAAGTTTAGAGTCTTTGATATTTTGTAGATTTGTGTGGGAAGTTATGATAAAATTATCCACTATTAGTACAGTAATCTAGCAGCAAAATAATATAAAGGAGGGGGAGAAATAAAACAAGTCAGAAAGAATCAGAATGGGAATCTTACTAGAGGATAGAAAGGCTGGTTAGCAGAAATAAGATGAATGAAAGTACTATATTTAAGAAAGAGTACAGCAGATGAAGAGGTCTTGGGGAGAGACTGTCAAAACTGTGATGAGATGCCGACAGCTGTAAATGTTGATCTTCCAACTTTCAGGAGTGAGGAGCATTACCCACACAGAGGGAGTTTAATGATAGTGCAGTAAGATCTCGGCAGAGGCTGAACGGAGCAAGCAGCACTTTATGACAGTCACACACAAGGAGAAAAGCCGAAAGAGAACTCTGGACTTCAGTACAAAGTAACTGGAAACCGAGCATCATGGGATGGAGTTAGCTCCACCTTTAGGTAAAGTCTGGGAAGGAGTTCAGGTGGCTCCAGGAAAGGGATGAGGTCATGAGAGGAAGGACAGGAATTATTTTCTAGAGGAAGGTTTAAGTTGAGACTGGCAAGCCTGAGAACTTCTGCAGACCAGTGGATTTTCCTACTGGTCTGTGTCAGCACCAGTATATTCAATGGTGAATCTCTGAAAGCCTCACCTCTTTTACCTCCATGACTGCCTGGAGGAATCTGAAACTGAACAACTGTGGGACTCACTCTCCCCTGCAGACTTAGCAGGGCCTGGACCAATGGCTGAGGCTGCCCTGAGGACAAGGATGGGTAAAACCAGGAGTCTGCCAATTTAAGAATTGGCTACATAATGTTGTGGAATACCTTTCTAACAAGAAGGAAGAAAATCTAAAATGTGTATTGATTTCTTTCTTGTATGCTCTCCTCTGTATATAATGCCTGTTGCCTGGTAACTAGACTCTAAGGTATCACGGGTTTAAAAAAAAAAAAAAAAAAGCCAATTGTCTTTTCAGAGCATTTCCTGTGCGAGAACAGTTAACCTCAAAGCAAAATATGCAGGATAAAAGTCACATGCACATTACCAGGTTGTTGATTGAAAGCTAGGAAACCGGGGGGTCTTAGGTTAATGCTTTCCACAGGGAAAAATAATAATTTAAGTTGATTACAAGCTCTAATTCATAATGACCATTGTAATTTAGTGGCCTCACTTCAGCTTTGAAGCAATACATATATAAAATAGACCTCTTATCTATCTGCCTGCTTTTGGTACTTTTCTTTACCCTCCCCAAAACTGGGGGAGGGGGGAAAGGTAGCTCAGAGAAGAGTTTGATGAGGAGATGTCTGGGGTTGAGACTATGCTGTGATATCTTTGCTGGTCAACACTGGCCCCCAGGAAATGCTAAAGTAACTGAAGAGGCAGAATGCAGACATAAAACAGTCAAGCTATTGTAGTTTCTGGACTAAAAACAAGCCGTGTTCTAAATTGGGACAGGTTGACGAGCCCTGTCTCACTGACATATGTACTTCTTTAACCTCTAACTTTAAGTTGGGATTTTCCCTGAGATGTGTATTTTTTAACTTGCATTTGATGTAACAACCAGCACAGTGTTCTCTGTCCTTTGGGGCGCTCATTTTTGCCAGGCTCATCATGGAACACCCAAAACCTCATATATGGTGGTCTCCAGAAATGCAGCTGTGACCCCTCTGACAAACATTTCATTTCGTTTCCCACCAGCTTGTAGAGAATATGACCAGATTGTAAAGTGAATTCAATCATTACTCAGCACCTGGGCTAAAAGCAAGAGCACCAGTGGACAGACTCACACCTCAGCTTAAGCCAAGGGGAGCCCGGATGACTATGTGTGCTTATGTATTTTCTTCTCCCTTGTTCAAGGCCCTCTTTGGATTTCTTGCCCACCCCCTAAAAGAGAATTTTTGTTTGTTACCTCTTACCGACATTTATTTTGGCAATTTTTTTCTGAGAGTCCATCCTCATCCTCTCCCATGATGTCCACAGCTGAAAAGATCAGTGCAACCAGAATGGCAAAGCAGCACACCAGGGCAAAGATCACGATGCACTTCTGCTGGGACTGAAAGAGGAAACGAAGACAAAGAAAAGTAAGTGGTGCTGGTTTCTCTCGGGAAGCTTGAGACATGACAACTTCTCAACACTCCAAGGAAAATGGGTGAGGAGATTATCACTGCCAGAGAAGGGAAAGCTGTTCTCCAGTGAGCATGCCCAAGACCTTTACGCTTCTTTCACAACACAGCCTTCAAACCCCACTCTATATGATGGACCCTGTTAAATAATTCAAGGGTAGTATCCAGGCTTCCAAACGAGTTTGGTCTTCTTTGTCTTCCTACTTAAAAGCAGCCCAGAAAAGATCACTATAACATCTACTGTTTCAAATTAAAAATGAAACACATAGGCCAGGATCATGCTGTTGATAAAAAGAAAAACTCTGTAAAATATTTGAAGAGATTAATTCTGAGCCAAATATGAGTGACCCATGGCCCATGACAGAACCCTCAGGAGATTCTGAGACCATGTGCCCAGGGTGGTTGAGCCATATCTTGGTTTTATACATTTTAAGGAGACATAAGACATCAATCAATACATGTAAAATGTACACTGGTTCAGTTCAGAAAGGCAGGACAGCTGGAAGTGGGGGCTTCCAGGTTATAGGCAGATTCAAAGATTTTCTGACTGGCAATTGGTTGAAAGAGTTATTATCAATAGCAAGGAATGTCTGAGTTACTATAATAGGTTGTAGAGACCAAGGCTTTATCATGCAGATGAAGCCTCCAGTAGTGGGCTTCAGAGAGAATGAATTGCAAATGTTATTAGACTTAGAGTTTGTTCTATCAGCAATTACAAAAGGGAGGAGGGAACAAATGAGGCATGTCCGGCTCCCACTTCTCATTACAGCCTGAACTAGTTTGTCAGGTTAACTTTGGAATGCCCTTGGCTGAGAGGAGAGTTCCATTCAGATGGTTGGGAGGTTTAAAATTTTATCCTTGTTTACAATGTGTAATTTGACTGACATTGTTTATTTTTAAACTCTGAACACAAACAGAATTCTTGATATGATTTTTACTTAGAAACACAGGCTGAATGTCCAAGTGATCAAACTCACTCACAGACATATCATTAGACTCAAGTATTATAATTTGAACCATCCCTCTCTCTAGGGGCTCATGGCTAAAGGTGGCAGAAGACAGAGCCACGATAAGTGGGCAGGGGCTGTGACTACTATGACAAATTATTCTGCCTGCTTTCCCTCTGCTACAGTCTAAATATTTGTGTACACCCAAAACTCATACCTTGAAATCTTAACCTCCAAGGTGATGGTGTTAGGAGATGGGGCCTTTTGGGAAGTGATTAGGCAGAAGTTCATGAAGGCAGAGTTCTGCCCTTGTGAATGAGACTGGTGGCCCTAAAGAGTCCCAGAAATGGGTATGGTGGCACCTATAGTCCCAGCTGTTAAGGAGGCTGGGATAGGAGGATCGCTAGATCCCAAGGTTTTGAGGCTGCCGTGCACTATGACTGTACCTGTGAATACCCACTACACCCCAGTGTGGGCATCATAGTGAGAATTTATCTCTAAAGGAAAAAAAAAGAGGCCCTAAGGTGCTCCCTTGCCCCTTCTATCATGTAAGGATGCAGCAAGACACCACCAGAGATGAAAAAGGAAAATGGGCCCTCACCAGATGCCAAATCCCCCAGCATCTGGATCTTGGACTTTGCAGCCTCAAAAACTGTGAGAAATAAATTTCTGTTGTGTATAAGCTACCCGGTTTATGATATTTTGTTATAGCAGCCCCAAAAGACCAAGATAAATTCAATAAATTCTGGATGAAGAAAGGAGAAAAAGCAATTTTAAAAGACTATGTTCAGCTTTTAGGGGTTATTTACAGAGGTGAAAGGGTCATCTTTGGACAGTCAGCCAGGCATACATCACTCTGTTAGTGATGAGAGAGATATATGTGTACACACACACACACACACACACACACACACACAGTTCAGAACCTTTCTGAAACCAGCTGTGTTGCATCCTCTTACCACCCTCCTTCCCTTTATCACTAAAGCCACATGACCCCCTAAGAATCCAAGGAACCTCCCAAACTCAGAGTCCAGGTCATCTAGAGGTATCCTTTGATGACAAACTGTAGTTAGAAATAGATGTAGTCAAGTCAAATGAATCAACGGTGTTTCTGTGACCAGGCACTATCAGCTCACATGAGTGCTTCATTTTTGCTTCAAATCCTCCTTCAGGCCTCATCTTCTGCAACCTCAATCCAAGTCCATTCCTGCCTGTCATTATATTCTCTTACTCCCCACTCAAACATAAAGACATTATTCTTTTACCCTAGACCCTGCTTATCTGTAAGACATGGATTTTGTTTTATTCTATCCTCAAGCAAACAGCACAATCCTAACAAATAGAATGTGTTCAAGAAACAATTATTGTATAAGTAAAAAAGTGAATGAATGAAATGAAAATTACAATGGCATATAATATAGTTTGGCTGTGTCCCCCACCCCAAATCTCATCTTGTAGTTCCCATAATTCCCATGTGTTATGGGAGGAACCAGGCAAGAGGTAATTAAATAATGGGGGTAGGTTTTTCCCATGCTGTTCTCGTGATAGTGAATAAGTCTCACAAGATCTGATGGTTTTATGAAGGGTAGTCCTCCTGCACATGCTCTCTTGCTTGCCACCATGTAAGATGTGCCTTTGTTCCCCCTTTACTTTTCACCATTGATTGTGAGGTCTCCTCAGCCATATGGAACTATGAGTCCATTAAACTTCTCTTTCCTTTATAAATTACCCAGTCTCAGGTATGTCTTTATTAGCAGCATGGGAACAGACTAATACAGCATACTTCTGAGAATGCAGAGACACATAAAATGTTTCTCTCAAAACTCAGCTGTGATCTTTCTGAAAACTGGCTTGATGCCATATTTTGGTGATTAAACATTTTGTAGTTCATCCTTTTTTACTTTCTGCTGGTGCCATAGACAAATTCATGGGCCACATTTAGCAACTATATAAAACTTGCAGAATAGACTGTGTATTTCTCTTGCCATTTTATTTTTCATTCACCACTTATTCCTCATTATATTTTTTAAGTTTGTCATATTTTGACAAATTATAGTTATACAAAGTGATATTTCTTTAAATATTGGAAGAAGCATAAGTTAAGCGATAAAGCTATCCATCATCTCAAATATTTGACATTTTTGTGATGAGAACACTGGAGATATACTCTCTTAATGATATAATGTACAGTACTCAAGTATTATCTATATTCATTACGCTACACAACAGATCTCAAAAAGAATCAGACTTATTCCTCCTATCTTACATTTTGTACCCTTTACCTATCATATCCCCATCCCCTCTACCCACCAGCCTCTGGTAACCACCATTCTACTCTCTGCTTCTATAACTTCAACTGTTTTATATTCCACATATCAGTGAGAACATGGTGTATCTGTCTATGTTTGGTGTATCACTTAGCATATGTTCTCCAATTCCATCCATGTTGACATGCCCGGCTAATTTTTGCATTTTTTATACAGACAGGGTTTCCCATGTTGGTCAGGCTGGTCTTGAACTCCTGACCTTGTGATCCAGCTGCCTCAGCCTCCCAAAGTGCTGAGATTACAGGTGTGGGCCACCACACTCGACCAAATGGGAAACTTTCTTCTCTTTTCAGGCTGAATACTATTTTGTTGTACATAAAATCCATTATTTTAAAAAATCCATTCATCTGTTGATGGGCACTTAGGTTAATCCCATAGCTTAATTATTAAGAATAGTGGTGCAATGGTGTACAGATACCTCTTCAACATACTAATTTAAAATCTTTGGGTAATTACCCAAAGGTAGGATTGCTAGATCATTTTTAGTTTTTTGAGGAATCTCCATACAGTTTTCTATAATGGCTACATTAATTTATATTTCCACCAACAGTGTACAAGTTCCCTTTTCTCCAAACCTTGCCAATGCTAGTCTTTTGTCCTTATGATGACAGTCCTTCTAATAAGTGTAAGGTAATATCTCACTGTGGTTTTAATTTGCATCTCCCTAATGGTTAGGGATACTGAACATTTTTTATGTATCTATTACCCATTTGCATGTGTTCTTTTAAGAAATATCTACGGAAGTCCTTTACTTGTTTCTGAATCAGATTATTTGTTTTCTTTCTATAGAGCTGACTTCCGTATATAGCTTGGGTATTAGTTCTCTACCAGATATATGGCTTGCAAATATATTCTCCTAATCCATAGGGTGTGTCTTCACTCTGTTAATTCCTTTGTTTGAAAGAAGCTTTTTATTGGAATGTAATCCCACTTGTTTATTTTTGCCTTTTTGTCTGTGCTTTTGAGGTGAAATCTAAAGTTATCATCCAGGCCAATGTTATGTAGCTCTTCCTGTTTTCTTCTAGTACTTTCACACTTTCAGGTTTTATGTTTCTTTGATCCATTTTGAGTTCGTTTTTGTAAACAGTGTAAGATAAGGTCCAGTTTCTTTCTATTGCATATGAATATCCAGTTTTCCCAACACCATTTATTGAAGACTGCTCTTTTCCCATTGTATATTCTTAACACCTTTGTCAAAAATCAACTGACCACAGCTGTATGGTTTCATTTCTGTCCTCTCTTTTCTGTTCCATCGGTCAATGTGTCTACTTTTGTCCCAGTACATGTTTCTTTAATTACTACTGTTTTGTAGTACAATATAGACTGAAATCAGGTAGTCTGATGCCTCAAGCATTGTTCTTTTTGCTAATGACTGCCTTGGCCAGTCAGAGTTTTTTGTGATTACATATACATTTTTAGGATTGTGTTTTTCTTTATCAATGAAAACTGACATTGGGATTTTGATAAGAATTGTAAGGAATCTGTAGATTGCTTTGGTTATTATGACTATTCTTACAATATCTATTCATAGGTGCTTTGCATATTTCTTAATCAGATTGTTTTTCTTTCTATAGGGTTGTTTGAGTTCTTTATGTATTTTGAATACTAATTCTCTATCAGATATATGGCTTGCAATATTAATTATTCCAATCCATG